TTAAAAGGAGTCTTATATTATTCTTTATTATTCTTTACATCACGCTACGTTAAAGTATAAGGCGGTGCAGCTAGTACTATAGTTTTTGCAATAATATCTAGAGTACTTTTAGTGAAAACTCTTGTGTCAGAAAGATGTCCCATCTTTTGCTGACAGGTTATGAAGATGTCCCGTCTTTTCTTAACCAGTGAAAGCTTAAAAGGAGTCTTATATTATTCTTTATCATCACGCTACGTTAAAGTATAATAATTAAGTTAGAGTAAGGCGGTGCAGCTAGCCTAGTGCTGTGTAGTTTTTGGAATGATATCTAGAATACTTTTAGTGAAAACTCTTGTGTCGGAAAGATGTCCCATCTTTTGCTGTCAGGTTATGAAGATGTCCAATCTTTTCTTAACCAGTGGAAGCTTAAAAGGAATCTTATATTATCTTTTACCCCACAATGCAGACGCGGGCGTGAATTCCGTAAAATAGCTAAGGCAATGGTGTCGATGCAGCTATTGTTTTTGGAATCATATGTAGATGCTTGAAAACGTTTGTGCCAGAAAAAAACGGTGAAAACGTTTGTGCCAGATTCATGTGCGCACTAGGGCCTAGGGAAAGGCGGTATAAGTGTATATATGAGATGGCGTACAAGCCATCGAAGCCGCCACACTTTTTACACTGCCAAGATGTATAAAGACGGCAAATAGGTTTCGATGTTTCGATATGGAATTATCATGCCATACTATGAACATAAACAAAATCTAGGTTGAACATTATTCACGCTATTCTCTAAGATATCAAGAACGTTTTGTTTTAGGCTACAACGCACGAGTATTATTACACACAGCATTTCACCTTATTGGCTATAGTATAGCCTGACCATGCATAGGTGACTTGTCAACAGTCAGCATCGTAAATATCATCCTGACATATTTGTACACTTTTATTTTAATGCATAACAGAAAATTAACTTATTACTTGCTTGGTTTCACACTGCGTTTAAGCAACTGAACCTGGATTGATGACATCTTATAGCGGTAATTAATAATGCGATTAGCGTTGCTGGCTTCCTGAAGTTGCAAACTCAGTTTGCAGATCCCGCTGTTTTTCAAAACGTGCGGGTCGTCATGAATGTTGGAACCATTTAGAAAGAAATGCGCTTTCCATCTCATACGACTTACGACGTGCTCAACCTTCTCAATGAGTCTTTTTCTGTACGCGTCTTTTGATGGTAGACCAATGTTCTTCAAAGAATAGTCAAACAGAATCCTTTGCATGTTGAATAGCTTTATTTACTATTGCTTGTTTTCACGAAGCAGAGTGCACAACTGCGAACCAGGTGCTTTCAATAACAATTCAAGTTTTCTTGATATGATATAGAGTACTCAATACTTTATTGTAGAGCTAAATTTATTTAATTATTTATGAAGTACAAAACAAACGTTGTTACTTATGCCTTCAGTAACGTTTGTTTTGCACTTTATTTCATAAATAATTAACTAAATTTAGCTTCGGCGACTTTAATTCACTTCGTAACTTCGTTACTTCGTGTAACTTCTACCACAACATAAATAATTCTTGGTTTCCTTGCTTTCGCGGGTGGATTGACTGCAAGAATGTATTTTAGCCCACTAACTGCGCCCGCTAAATTAATTATAATTAGTAATAAACGTCAGCTCAAAAATGCCAGCCTCTATCGTGTTAATTGTCATGGTCATCAGTACAAATTTTATACTAACTCAGTATTTATTTGTTTAGTCCTTGGCGATAATAGGTGCCTAAAATAGCAGTTTTTTACCTCGTGATCAAAAACTTACCACCACAGCTTGTTCAACAATTTGAAAAGCAAACCACATCTTCAAAATGTTGCTTAATTTACAATCCCCTGAATTTTGATTAAAAAATTGAGTCATTCAACCCTTCACTTCATATTATGTCAGTTTAAAGCCATTCCTTTTATTGTCCTATCTTCATCTTCCTTTAATATTCAGATGTTGGGAAGCGACAAAAATTTAAAAAAGCCAACAAAGTTTGGCAGCTGGAAAAGATTTTGTTGATGGGAAGAAAGAGGAAAGCATGAAAGATGATAGAATATTAATTGCTATGTGTCGATAAGAACTGTATTTCCATGTATACAGATGTGATATTTGGACCAGGAACGGGTACCCAATCGCTGCTGTTTGTTGTTGCTGTTGTTGTCGCTGTTGTCGCTGTTGTCGCTGTTGTCACTGTTGTCGTTGTTGTCGTTGTTGTCGTTGTTGTCGTTGTTGTTGTCGTTGTTGTCGTTGTTGTCGTCGTTGTCGTCGTCGTTGTTGTCGTCGTCGTTGTTGTCGTCGTCGTCGTTGTTGTCGTTGTCGTCGTCGTTGTCGTCGTCGTTGTCGTCGTCGTCGTCGGTCGCCGGTCGTCGTTGTCGTCGTCGTCGTCGTTGTCGTCGTCGTTGTCGTCGTTGTTGTTGTTGTTGTTATATGTCTTAAAAGGTTTATCGAAGGTGTCAGTCTCTAACTTTCATCAACTATGGATAAATCTACAATGCCAAAAAAACAAATCAATAATAATTTGTGTAACCTACCGACCACCTGACACTTCTCTAAATTGTTTCGAAGATTTACTTAAGCCAAATTATGTTCAGGCTTTAACTTTGAATAAACAGATTTTAGTGCTCGGTGACTTAAACTGTAACATGCTAGAAAACGGCCAGGAGCGGAGAGCGCTAACAAATTTTTCTACAGAATTAAATCTCACACAGATTATTAAAACTCCAACTAGAATCACGGCGACGTCCCAAACGCTTATTGATGTTATTCTAGTCTCATCCACAGCACTTGTTCTTGAGAGTGGTGTTATTAACACTTCTATCAGTGACCACTTACCAGTGTACGTCCTACTAAAGTTAAAGGCCCCAAAGATGCCAGCATGTTACATTACAACTAGGAGTTATAAAAACTATAATCCCTCACTATTTTCCTCTGACCTTGTCACTAAATCGGATCGTCTGTTATCCATATTGTCCAACACCAAGGTTAATACAATACTCGAAACCTTCAAAGATGTTCTTCACTCAACTCTCGACGTGCATGCACCGTTAAAAACCTTCAAAATTCGAAATCGATCATGTCCATATGTCACCAATGAAATAAAAGAACTCATGAAGTCTCGGGACCTACACCTCCGTCGGTTTCAACTGACACGTGCTGAAGGTGACTGGGTAGTTTACAAAGAATATCGTAATAACGTAAAAACCAAAATTAAAGCCGCAGCGAAGGACCACACCTTCAACGAAGTAAGAGAACATAAACACAATTCGAGATCCCTATGGAAAATAATTAATAATATAATTCCCTCGAAGGAAAAGGAAACACAAGTTTATAGTAAAGATCCAAAAAGAGTTGCAGAAGATTTCAACCTTTTTTTTACTTCTGTGGGACGGAACGCTGCTGCGACAGCCGAAAGTTTAGCCAAAGACAACAATGTTGCACTGTCAAATCCTCTGTCAAATGTAATCACTTATCCATCTGATCAACTGTTCAATTTCCAATCCGTTACTTGTACAGAGGTTCAACGCATTATCATGGCTATGCCAAGTAATAAGTCACCAGGACCAGATAAAATAGGCATGCGTGTCATCAAAGACTGTCTTCCAATCATACTGGGTCCTCTTACACGTATGATAAATTGCTCTCTAATGACAAGCACATTCCCTGACCTATGGAAGATTTCTGAAGTTATACCCCTACTAAAAGAAGGAGACCACGAGATAGCCTCAAACAATCGGCCTCTCTCACTACTCGAGGTAGTTTCAAAAGTTTGTGAAAAAGTTGTTCTAAATCAATTTAGCTCCTACCTCAAAAAATTTAATCGCATATCGTCACATCAAAGCGGGAATAGGAGTCTTCACTCCACCGAAACCTTAAACATATTTGTTACCGATACGATGTTGGAAGCCACAGACAACAAAAATCTAACGGCACTAATTTTATTGGATTTATCCAAGGCATTTGACAGTGTCAGTCATTCGATTTTATTACACAAATTGAGTTGTATCGGTGCTTCACCCGAAGCTGTTAAATGGTTCCAAGACTATTTAACAGGCAGATCCCAATACGTGCGCATTGGATCCACCAAGTCATCAGCTCGCCCGATAACCCATGGCGTTCCACAAGGTGCAATACTATCACCACTTCTGTTTTGCATCTATATTAATGATCTGCCAGGGAGCATACAATCGTGTAACCTTGATTCATACGTAGACGACTCAAAGCTTTACAAATCATTCTGCATCTACGACTTGGAACTGACAACTATTAATTTAGAGGCAGATCTACAAATAGCAGCCAAGTGGTGTTTGGAGCACCAATTACTGATCAATCCAGAAAAAACTAAATTCCTTGTAGTCGGTTCAAGACCCATGCTGCAGAACGTACCTACAGAAATATCGCTAACATTTTTAGGAAAGACTATAAGACCTGTTTTATTAGCTAAAGATTTGGGAATCAATTTGGATTCGTACCTATCCTACGACGACCACATATCTAAACTCGTTTCGTCGTGTATGAGAAAACTATGTCAAATAAATCGCGTGAAGGATAGTTTCGATAATGAAACATTAAAATTGGTCATTGAGACACTTGTAATTAACAAGCTTCTGTACTGCTCTACGGTGTGGTCCAACACGTCATCTAACAATATCAATAAACTTCAATCAGTGCAGAACTTCGCGTGCAGAGTTATATCAGGGGTAGGAAAGTTCGATCACATAACTCCGGCGTTGCGCGAACTAAATTGGTTGCCAGTGGAAAAGTTATTATTGGAAAGGGATACTGTAATGGCTTACAAGTGTTTTAATGGACTTGCACCTGACTACCTAGTAATAAATTTATAAAGCGTTCCGACATACATGATCGATCGACAAGAAATCATGACCTCTTGGACATCCCTCTGTATAAATCTGCTACAGGTCAAAGAACATTTAATTACCGGGGTGTTAAAATATGGAATGACTTGGATGATAAACTAAAAAATATTACATCAATAACAATTTTTAAGAAAAAACTTAGGGAGATTTTACTAAAAGAATCCTATTAAATACATTTAATATTTCATACTCTTTGTACATATTTTAACTAATTTTAAATAAGTATATGTAACATAGGTAGTTTTAGAAGTAATTTATAGTAATTTTAAGATGTAATGTAGTGTTGAAAAGCCCTTAGGGGAACACGCAATAAAGTATCTATCTATCTATCTATATATACATATCATTAATATTCAGCAAATATATCAGCAAACGCAAACGATCAGACCCGCAGATTTCTCCCAAACTACCATTTTATCTTCATTAATTTCAAGAAAAATTTTTTCATTGTTCAATGACGCGGATAGATGAAGATGTAACTCAAAATGATTAATTCCTATAAACCAGTCTCAACATTGAATAAAAGACCGTTTTGCTTGGATCATTTTGACTTCTGTTATTTTAAATTAAGCACGTTGGACAAAAAAAAACATCTAGTCTACAACTTTGGGACGGTACCAATATCGCTTTGTAAAATCCTCAGTTCTGGCTGTATCTCTATAAAATCACAAGGACGTCGATGCTAAGTCGTTGGGCTACAACTTTGGGTTGAGAAATAATTCCTTATGCCTACATGCTATCAAAATGTTTTATACAACAGCGTGAAACGGTAATCTTAAGAAATGGGTCAGCATTTACATTTCCAACACAGTTTCTGAGATGTAATTGAAGAGATCGGAAGAGCATATCATTGCATTTGAACTATTACATCAATCAAGGGCGGCGAGAGCCAACCATGATGGGCCCCGGGACAAAATGACATTTTTAAAGTTCCAACAATTTTGTACATACACGGATTTATACTCAAAATAATTCTTTTATTCGCAATACAATATACTGTTTTGCTTTGAATAACTATATTTGCGAATCGAGAATGAGGATTTTGCCGTTTTGACATTATTGTTCAAATATTATGCATATACTAGCTATATTATATTTATAAACAATGTACGTTTTATACACTGTAGGGGCTAATAATATATATGTATCTGTTTTATTTAATAATTGTATATGTGTTTGTATATTTTACAAACACAAGGCTGCTTCTTGCCAAAATTGAGAGAATATATATCAATATAATAATAATGTAGTAATTGTAGTTGCGTATAAGACAAAATTTCATGAAAGAGTCTACTTCTGCGGTGACTGCGAGAAAGAGTATTTGGGTCAGTCTAAACGCCAGTTTGGTCACACGGGTAAAAGAACATCAAAAGGATGTTTCAACTTTCGATAAGGGAAAATCAGCTTTAGCCGAACATGTATGTTACACCAAACACGAGATTGCATGGGAAAACTCTAAAGAAATTACCACAAATAATCGCTATGGTCAAAGACTTTGCCTAGAAGCGTGGCATATAAATATGAGTAATCATGCTTTGAATAGGGATGACGATGCCTATTTGCCAGAGGAATATATGCATTATTATTATTATTATTATTATTTAAAATTCTTTATACACGGTAGCTTATCAACCTATTTATACTAAAAATATATAGAGACAGTTTTCTGATAGTGATAAAGTTTCAAATAATTAAAATGGTTGCTTTTCATAAGGCCGTGTAGAAATTTAAGCTAAGCAGTAGAACAACAATTTACTAAATTATAGTAAATATCATGCATAAACAGGACATTATTACATTTATAATATTCCATAAAAAAAACCCGACAAAAACATACACTCTAGTAACAGTTTATTGAAAAAGATGTTTTATAGCTGCAGTCACTGGTTCAAAAATGAATTATTTTCGCGAATGAAATCTTGTAATTTATTTTTAAAGACTCTCTCAGAGATCGTGAGATTTTTCATTTCAGTTGGCAAATTATTCCAAGTTTTTGCACCATGGTAGCTAAAATTTCGCTTCAGCGCATTTGTTCTTGGTTTTGCCAGTTTCAGCATAGTAAAATTATTGCGTAGATTATATTGATCGTTTACTGAACTCTTTCTCGACAGGCCGATTCCGAATTACATTTCGATTCAATTTTTCCAATATAAATATCTCGGCGAGTATTTAGCTACCCCCCACCCTTTAAATAAATGGATGCAGGGACTTCATTTTTTAGAATTTTGCGCATAAACAAGAGCGTCTTAACCAATCTTATCTGGTTTAGTGGTTGCCAATTCAGTTTGCTGATAACATCTTTTGAACGAATCTCCCAATTATTTCCAGTTATAACTCTTGCTGCCCTATTTTGAAGCTTTTGAAGTTTCAATTGCAACTCTAGTTTACAATTTTGCCATACTAGAAAGCAATAGTCAAAATATGGCTGCCCAATTTTATCGCTCCTATTCCGCTTGAAACTTTTTTGCTGATGCTGTCAATGTGGTCCGCCCATTTCAACTTATCGTCAATGACCACGCCAAGACTTTTTGTTGTTTTAACTCTATTAATTGATTCGCCGCCAATTTTAATTGTCGGATCCACATTAATCTTACTTAGATTATTTTGAGAGCCAATAATCATATATTCTGTTTTACAAAAGTTAAGTGTTAATTTGTTTGCCACTAGCCATTGATAGATATTACTAAGATCGGTGTTCAATTTTCCCTCCAATTCATCTACGGATTCCGCAGATGCGGAGATATTAGTATCATCAGCAAACATCGAAGGTTTTGCCTGATCAAGACAATTTGGCAGGTCATTGACATATAATAAGAATAGGAGGGGTCCTAAATTTGATCCCTGGGGAACACCACATTTAATTAATTTTCTGGATGATTTAACGTTATTTATTTTACATGTTTGATATCTTTTTTCTAAGTATGATATAAACCAATTCAAGGCACCCCCTGTAATTCCATACAGTTTTAGCTTTTCAATTAGGATTATATGATCAACAGTGTCAAATGCTTTCCGTAGATCTTGGAACAAGACTCCATTTATAAGACCTTTATCAATATTTAGCAGCCAATTACTTGTAGTATTTAACAACGACGTTACAGTTGAATGAGATTTTCGAAATCAAAATTGATTACCAGACAGAATGTTGTTCTCATTTACATACGAAATTAACTGATTGTAGACAGTTTTTTCTAAAATTTTCGCAATAGTCAACAAAATCGAAATAGGCCTATAATTGCTACAGTCAGATTTGTCACCGTTTTTGTAAATGGGGAAGACAAAAGCGGTTTTAAGTTCCTCTGGGAATATACCTTGTTACAAGGATCTGTTGAAAATTTTTGTCAATGTAGGACAGATTACTTCAGCAGAATCCTTAACTACCCTTGCGAAAATCAACACTATTTTAACCCTATTTTAATTTCTATTTTATTCCTATAAAAAAACTATGTCATTTTTAACCCTATCATATTGCTATCACATATACAAATCCTATATTAAACCTATTGGAACTCTGTTTTAGTTGTATTTTATAGCTATTATAAATAGGTTTTTTAAAACAAAAAATAGCCTATTTTAAATAGATTTTATTTTTCTGAAACGGTGAAGCACGGATTGAAATAGTTTTAAAATAGGATAAAATATATTTAAAATAGGGTGCAAAATAGAAATAAAATAATAAAGTAAAGTGAAACTTTGCTAATAAAATAGATTTTAAATATACATAAAATAGGTTAAAAATAGTCTAAAATACATATAAAATAGTGTAAAATAGTGGACCAACTGCAGTATATTAACTAAAAATAGTAATAAAATTACTGCTAAAATAGTAGTAAAATAGTTTAAAATATGAATAAAATACTGATATAATAGTAATAAAATAGTATAATTTAAAATAGTGATAAAATAGCAAACAAAATAGTTCAAAATTCTTATAAAATAGTATAAAAATAGTAATAAAATTGTAATAAAATAGGCGAGAGTTAATAAAATAGTTATAAAATAGTCAGAAAGTAGCAATAAACTAGTTATAAAACGGCAATAAAAGAATAGTAAAATAGTTATAAAATCGCAATAAAATAGTCAGCCATATACCAATAAAATAGTTATAAAATAACAATAAAATACCCAAAAATAGTAGCACTGCAACATAGTCAGTTACAAAGTAATAAAATTGTGGTATGATAATTAAAACCAGTTGAAAAATATTACTCACCTATTCACAAATAGCGACGCCATCTTGAATTTCGTGTTTAACGCAATGCATTATGGGTGATCTAGGGTAATTAAGCGTTTTTGAAGGGCTGTAAATCAAATATGTACGCGAAAACATACGTTTTTATAGTTGAAAATAACAGACAATTTTTAGAAGAACTAGGAAAACACACAAAAGCTGGGAAAAATAAAAAATCAGGATAAAATCTATAGTTTAAGTCTTTGTTAGGCCTAAAAAGGGAAATAATTTCAACAAAGTGCGCATAAAATTGATTTACACTGCCTCATTGTCCTCAAGAAAGTGTTTATGAAAAAAATTACCGTATTGTGTCTCAATACGACATTAAAGGCTTTTGAATTCGGATTTTTACCCTGGATAACCCATAATGCATCATGATTCAAGATGGCGTCGCTATTGGTGAAGAAGTGAATTGTTTACCACAGCCAGAGTTTACCAACGTTTGAGTAACTGTAAGGAATCTATTACACGATTGGGTTTCAAATCAATTACAGTATGAGCAGTCTAGTAGTTTACTAGCAGTTATAGATCTATTGTCAGCTATGTAATAATGTAAAGCTTCATGACCCATGTCACCAAGCATTTTGGTGACATGCATGGGTTATTGCCAATACATGTGAGCTTAATTGTCAGTATTAAAAGGTGAAAAATGGGCAAGCAGGCCACAGTCGATGAATAAAATTGTCTAGCTTGAGACGTCACAGTTAAATATCACGGGCAGAACTGCACAAGAGTGTTAAGGAAAATTACATCTAAATATGTCAACATGAAACATCATGGGCATGAAACATCATGAGTCTAGCTGGACACTTTCCTTGGCAAATAAAATTGTGCAACATTAGGCAAGATACAGTAACATTTAATAAGCTGCTGAAAATTGAAAATTGGGCACATCAGAGTGAAATGGTAATTAAAAAAAAACATCAGTTCGGTCCCTTCCCATGAATTGCCGGGGTGTCTTTAGACATATATAAAATGTTGCCCAAAGGTTGTTACAGATATTGTTAAGCAGAACATGCAGGTGGTATAGATAAATGTATTCATATATTATATACTTTGAACAAGCAAACAAAGGACTTTAACTGTTTCCAGTTAGGGCGCTTCCATAATCAAGTTGCAGGCTGATAATTTCAGCAAATACACTAGATAGATATAAATATAATATAATATAATGACATGTCTTGCAAATATAACAAGTCCAACATATCTTGTGAAACACTGCTGAAGGTGAATCATATTTGATTCAAAACATACAGTTTTTATGAACTGTGTGTTAATTATTATTATATAATGCACTTGTTATTCAGAATAACTTTTATTATATGACTATTGTAACTGAGACATGCACATTTAGCTGGGATATGCCTAGGTATTTATAAGCATATAAAGAATTGAGGATTGAAACTTGAGTAGATGCCAAGCTATAAAACAGTATATTATTTAATTTTGATACAAGAAACACTGGAATCTGGCAATCTGTCATACACACAACTATACTATTTAGCATTAGTTACAATAAACATAATTTAATAGAAAGAATGAGTCAAATGTAAGCCTTTGAATTAAACTAATTGTTTTATATCATCGCGGCAAATTCAAATTTTAAGCCGAAACATCAAGCACGTGCATTCTCAAAATTTACGAATGATGATAGAAAATATTTCCTTTCAAAATTGCTTTATTATACATAAAAAATAACAAGATTCCTAGCTGGATATTACTCAGTCATCCCTAATGTTTCATCTTCGCTTATTAAAGCATCATCGGCTCCAAATATCGAGCGAAATATTATAACTAATATACTTCGAAATTGTCGCGGCAAATTCAAATTTTAAGCCGAAACATCAAACACGTACAATCTCAAAATTCACGAATGAAGATAGTAAATATTTCCTCTCAAAATTGCTCTATTACACATAAAACATAACAAGATTCTTACCTGGATGTTACTCCGTCATCCCTGATGTTTTAGGTTCGCTTATTAAAGCTTCATCGGCTCGAAATACCGAGCGAAATATTGTAACTTCGAAATCACAAACCATCACGAACTGATTATAAAAAATATGGCGGTGTAAATTCAGTGCTTCCACTCCCAAAAAAAGAATTTCCTTACCAACTGCTACAAATTTCCTTATTAGGCCACATAAAATAAATTCCTTGATTCTCATCACCGCCCGACTGTATTTTCAGAGCCGTGTGAAAATTTTTTATATTTTGTTATACAATATAAATGTACCGCCCGACAAAATATTTCAAGACAGTTAAGTTTTTTATATTTTATATTGGGTTTTTAGTGCCATTTTAAGCTGCCAATTTGAAACAAACAGAACCTTGAAAGAAATTTCATTGCATTTTAAAGGAACTTCGCATTCAGTTCAAGGGTTCAGTCAATGTTTGTGGAGAAATATGTTTACTTCGGTTTGTGACACTTCACTTTTGAAATCACAAAAATATTAAATGTTAGGAATTATTTTTTTATTTATTGATATATAAATTATATAAATATAAAATGTAAAATATAAACCCCCCGCTTCTTCGACATTTTCAAAGTGTAATGAAGAGAATCAAGGAATTTATTTTATGTGGCCTTAATGAAAATAATTCCTTGCACCTAGTTTAAAACTGATATTACAATAATTTATCCTGAATGACGGTGTGTTTCTCGGTTGCAATAGCGTTGTCCGCAATTGACGTCACGAAAATTCGACCCCCCGCGAAGACTCAGACAAACATTGGCAACATTTAATATAAATAGTATTATGATTGAGAGCTTCCTGTGAGTTAGTTTGATAGTTTGATGTTTGTTTACGGTTTATTTGTGCGAAATCATACACACCTTGTACTTTTCGCTTTACCTGAAGTGCCAGTGCAAAATATTTTTGCTTTGGAAGTAGAAATATACACTTTTTCGTCACTTTAGTATCGACTGTCGTCGTTTCTATCATAAGCGGTGTCTACTGTATTATAATAGTACATGGTTTGGCGTAACTGTTGCTATAAAAGAGGCCATAAAGAAAGGGTATGCAAAAGAAAGGGCGATAGAAAGTCTGTAGTAGCAGATATTTAACCGAAAAAATCTCGTAGTCGTACCAGATTTAATTCGTAGCCCTAGCGAATCAGTTCTAAAGTTCTCTATTTAATGTTGTTGATTTCATGTTTATACTAACTTATATTTTAATACTCGCTTTAGTGTGCATTATTTTATTACTTTAGACATCTCTATAATTAATAGCAAAGTCCAAAGCCAAAGAAGCTAGGATTGTTTACTATAATCTATTGACTACATATTCAACTTATAAAATACGGATTTATTAGAAATGTAATTAAAACTAATACTTTCAAATTTAAACTTTTTTAAAAAATGTCAAAGATAAACTACAAACTATATAAAATCTCAAATATAAAATCTTCCGTTGACCAGTAAAACTATTTTGTTTTGACAATACAACAAAAATATGTTATTATAAAAACAACATTTTTATTTATCTATTTTTAAATATTCAGTTTTGTAAAATAGAGAACCTCCCTTTAACACTGTGTTAAT